CCCCGCCCTTTCCTTTCCCTTCGTTTTCCTTGGACGGTACCATCTCCATTGTAGGGGTTAGAAAATCTTTTTGTGCGTCAACGAAAAGTAAATTTCCAGTCAGAAACCCGCCGAAATCTTACATCAAAGCGCATTTATAAAAGTAAAGTTTCATATAAAGCGTACGTAATTGTAAATAAGTGTGAATAAGGGTATAAGTCTCGTTCTGACCGTGGGACTAACATCCCCCCCCCCCCCTAATGGTGAAATATTAACAATCCCTGGAACTGTCAAAATCGCTTGTTGCTTCCAACCTTAGCCTTAAAAGTAGTTAGCGAGCTAGCATGTAGGCGCTTCGGCGAAGCCTGATTCGAAATAAAAAGAGAATTTTAAAAAAGTTTGCCATTGAAAGGAAATTGTGACCAGTGGTTGTTTTTAAATGCTTCTGCCGAGCTGAGCCGTACCGTGGGTCCGGCGCGAAGCTGGTGGGCAGCTCCAGACACAGCTGGATGTGACACGTTCGACACCAGGTAAGCTGCAGGTAGTTAGCCTAGCTACTGAAGCTGTGCTCTGGCGCTTTTTTACACACGTCACGGGAGTTTAGTAAATGTGTAAATATCATATAAGACCGAAGGGGGACTAAAATGTTTTAAAAATAAGTTTAATGAGCCGAAATCTGATTCAGGGTGAGCTGTGCTAGCTAGTGACTGACAGCTAATTAAATCAAGCCAAAGGTACATGAAAACACATGTATTTATTAACGCAGGAACTGCAGCGTTGTACGGCAGGCTGTTGTATAATATAATCAAAACCACACCTACTTTTCATGACCTGTTTAGACACCACTCCTTCAAGCCTGCTCAAAAACCTAAAATCAAAACATTCAAACTATTTATTTTATAAACAGCTGAAATTAACTTAGGAAACATTCAGTTTGGATGCTAAAATTATCTCTTGACTGGCAAGTCGAGACTCGATGTCGAGCGTTGTTTTTTATTTGTTGTTGTTTTTATTTAACATGTTTTATTTGTGCTAATATCTTCTTTTTCTTGAAAATGTCACCATTAATTTTTTTCTTTTAAAAATGGCCTTTTTCTTTTCGTGGTTACTTTTAATTTGACATTTTGGGCGTAAATCCAGATCCACAATTGACATTCAAGATATCAAACTTTTGCCAGTCTTGCATTTTCACCTCTAGTTGTCCACTTATTGAAAAAAACAAAACAAAAAAAGTAAAATAAATAAATAAATAAACTGTGGTTATCTGAAATTTAAATGGCTTTTGAAATAGTTCTATGTAGCAGGTATCCCTATTTTATTAGTGGACATTCAAGATTACTGTAGTAATGTCTTGAAAATTTCTTTAATTGGTTTTGTGTCAGACCTTCCTGGACATGCTTCCTGTTGCTAGGTGAAATAGCGAATAGAAATTATTGTCTAAAATAGAAGAATGGTTTATTTATTGCTGCTTTCCCAACAACAAGTGTCCAAAATTTGTCTTTTGTCCAAAATTACAAGGAGCTATGTATCTTTGCATCTATTAACCTGTTTTTGTTTAATACATTTATCCAAATATGCTTTCGGCCAATGGAAGCACAGCTCCTAGCTGCTTGATATTTGATTATGGCTAATAATAGAAAAGACAGCTGCGTTTTCATTGATCTGTCTTCACTGCCCTATTTCTGAGTGCTTTTATTTTTACCCCATCGTGTGGAACTATCCAGTACTCGGTCCTCTGTTCTGGCAGCTCTTTCAAACATTTTTTTTAAACACTCAGCATCCTGAATGTGTGAGTGCACCCTAGCCGTTCGGGGTCAAAAAGGACGGGGATAATGGAAGGGGAGGGGATAACACGTGGGAAGGAAGTAGCTCAGCTTGTTTGTCCGCCAGGCTTTTGTTTGTTTTCTATTAGGACAAATCCATTCAGAAGGTTGGATTTCTTAGATGGAAAGTTGCGATGAGTGAGGCTTGTTGCACAGTTAATGACTGTTATCCTGTCATGTGGAAACCGTGATGTTTCAGGTTAACAACATGTTTTCTTTTCCAATCATTTGTCACCTTGACAAACAGCAGTGAGAAAAACGGTAATGATCACGTTTACTTGGTTTTATTATTGGTCTTTATTGTTGATGTTATACACGCAACATGTTTTGGGTAGTCCACGTTCAGATAAACAAATTACGATCGCCGTTTTTATGCCGACATCCTTGCCCTACCTTTGCTGTGGTGACTGTGTTCATGCAGCGCTCCATTTGCAATGAGAATAAATCCTGCAGTCGACCATTGAAAGAGTATTCATGAGCTTTTAGTTAACTTCACAGAAGTGGGGCTAGAAATATAATCAATAAATCAATTAATTGTACGATAGATACTGATCGGGACTCAGACTTTACTTCCCGATTCAAGCCCCGATCCGGAGTTGGATGCTGGATTCAAATTACAGGAGAGCAACTTGGTTCTCCTTAAAGGTTGTCATGCTCCCCTGAGGCCCTTAACTTACACACCCAGAAGGAGCGCAAAAGAGATCCAGTTTCTACCTATATTATATTATTTATATGGACTCAGCGTAGCGGGGACTCTTCTGAGCAGAGATGCAGAGAGCGGCAGGCAGACCGCTGATTATTCATGAACTCCAGCTGCGTTCTGCACACGGCCACAGTAACATTTTCTAAGTTTCTAAGTGGCGTCACAAAAAAATATACAATTAACACACAGTCATTCGTGTCCGTTTATTTTCTCTCTGGTAAGTTCTGTCTGTATTTGAGCATGACGTGTGGACGCGCTCGCGCTGCAGCGCTCGTCACAGTCGGGCGGCGCAGCGCACACTCCGCTTTTTTTGCGGTCAATAGATCATTTGATCTGCTAGTTAAAAAGTTACTTGTGAGGTGAAAAAGAAGGAAGCAGGCAGGAGTTTTTCTGGAGGACTGGGAGATGCAGGAAGATCAGAGACAGACAGGACAGGAAAATAAAAACCAAGAAAACAAAACAAAGTTCTTAAATAAATAAAATGCAGGTAGATTTATCCCACTACACGTTTGTACCTGTATAAAGCAGTAATTTATCAGCATATAGTATTTATATAGTTGATACAATTCAGATCATCTTCAAAACTCCTCCCATGCCCAGAGACGTATCTAAGCATTTTGGGGGCCGAGGCAAAATAGACCCCTGCCAGGTATTTTTAGTTGAAGTGTTATCTGTTTTTATATTAGACTTTTTATATTTGCAATAAAGTCCAAAAGTGAAGAGTGTATGTTATTTATTACTTGATTGTTCAAGCTACCTCACAGAAGTGATCAGTTGTTAAAAATTACAATAAAAAGGTAATTAAATAAAAAAATAAGGAACATTCTGGAACTGTTTCTTCCTTTTCTTATTTTCTTTTTTATGTATCAAAAGTATCGGATCGGGACCTGGTATCGGCAGATTCTCAAAATCAAATGACTCGGACTCGAGGGCAAAACAACCTGATCGGGACATCCCTAAAATTAACTCAAAAGTTTCTCTAGCCTCAATATATCGAGGTTAAGAAATGTACAACTTATTATTAGTTTTTATCATTATTGAAGAGCAGTTTGGTTGTTGACACGTTCCTTATCAAAGTACTTCCTAAACAAGTAACGTGTTTGGGCAGATAAAGTGAAGAATTGACAAATACAGAAAAAAATACTTTCTCTAAAGAAATAATTTCACTGCGCTTACATGACAGTCATAAAAAGTGATAGTCAAATGCTGCCAGTGTGTTTTGCTTTCCTTCTGCCACGTTTACTGCATTCTTTTTTTAACATTTGTAGCTAAAACTCATTTTTAAATAGATTTAAAACATTTTTCCTTTTCTGATTTCTTAAGTATGTACACAAGGACACACTGTAGTCAGACTTCATCTGATAGTACTTGTCGGTTTCCCCACAGGTGCTCCGATGCTTAAGGTGACGTCACTGCTATTTGCAGACCTGGACACTTTTCCACACTAGACTGCTCAGCCATCCTAACCACTAACCTCTAAATTACTTGCAGGTGTAGCGTAGAATCAGCCATGAAGGTGAAATTGGATGGTGAACAGATTTGTTTACTGTCCAAACTGAAGTAAATGAAACACCCAGGCTGCCGCGTCATTCGCAACCTTTGTACGAGACAGAGGGAGACAGGGACGAAGAGGACAGGCAGACAGTACAGCTGTTCTATTGAATCTGGATCGAAAAGTCACGAAGCTGGACCTCTGACTCATCAGTTCTGTGACGCTCTGGTTTCACGGCTCAGATGGTGCATGTCATCAGCTGATCTGAGCGGGTGGGGGACATGCGGGAATCAAATCAAATACTCATTTCTTTGTTTCTTTTTAAGCAATAAACAAAGAATTACAGAACTGTGATGAATGTGCAGGTGAGGGATGAAGCGGAGTCAGGAGAGGATACGAGAAAGGTGCTTAGGAGAGGAGGAGGAGGGGATGGATGAGTTTAGAGGACGGATGCTGAGAGGAGGTGGAGGAGAAGCGGGAGGGGGAAGAGCAGGTGTAGTGCTCCGGTTTCCTGGGGGGATGGTGTTAAATGCGATGATAGAACACAGACAAGGACAGTGCTGGTCTCCGGTGTGCAGCTGCAGTAACACTTCCATCACCATTCCTGTTCTTCTGAACTGATCAGGTGCCGGTTTGGATTTTAAAATATCCCGAGCAGATTGCACGGTGACGGGTGGACTGGCACCCTTTTGGAAGGGGCACGAATTTGGGGAAACACCTTTTAAGATCAGTATTCAGAGCTTGTTACTGTAAGTGCAAAATTCGTCCCGTCAGTCCTGTGTTTCCTTCCAATGGAGAATCAGAGAAAGCTGGGATCCTGAGTAGCTGGGATTTGATTGGCTGGAGCTGTTCAGGGGCAGGTCTTTGCCACAGGCTGGTGGACAGGAAGGGGCTGGGTTCAGGGGTGTGTGTGTGTGTGTGGTGGGGGGAACATTGGCTGGAAGTATTACAGCCAAATAGTTTGTGTAGGCACTCTGTTTCCTGCCAGCCTCACTCGCTCGCTCGCTTGCTCGCTCTGCGGCTGAGAGAGAGACACCCAGAGCAAATCCCCGTCTAGGCATGGATCTCTGGCTGCAGCGCTCCGCAGCTTGTGAGGAATGACAACAGTTCACATGGTCATTAACTCCACTCGTCGGGGCTGAAGGGAGAGCCGCACCGTGGCACAGCGGTGCAGAAGTGCCTCTTGTGTTTGGGACGAGACGGAAGCACACGGCAGAGCTCCGGGACGCAGTGAGACGAGGTGGGAAAGAACTGTCAAAACGTCGGGCTTCTTTCTCCCTTTCTATAGAGTCTTTCAGGAGTTTTGCTGCAGTATGCTGCATACCAGTGTGTCTGGGTGGGGAGGGACTTGAGGGAATGTTGTATCTGTGTGAGAGGACGGGTGTGAGACGGGAGCCGTGAGAGGAATATAACTTTAAAATAAATGTTTGGAGACAGTGGGATCCGTTTTTGAGCCCCGGGAGCTAGAAGCCACGCAGTAACCGTCTTCCTTTCAGTTTCCAGTCCAGGAAATGGACTTTCTCTTTCGTCTCCCCAGGGAAAGTCATTATCACAGCAGTGGACTTGCCCCTGTCCTCAGTACAAATGTCACTGCCTTGTGTTTCCTCCGTCTAGAGAGAAGCTTGTCATGTGGCCTCTCCTCATGTGCAGCTTTGACAAACTTTTTCCTTCAGTACGACATGAGCTACGATTAAAGGTTGCTTGTCTGGAACAGAAGCCGCACAAACGGCTGAAACGTTTTTAGACGTGAACTGTCATCGTAATGAACCTTTTGAGTTAGACCGGCCAAAGTGGAAATGTGCCTAGCTTTCCGCCGCATGTCTGGATTTAGATCTGCACTCGGTGCTGAGCCCGGTGCAGTCAGCGGACATCGTTGCTTCAGCGGAAAAGGCCAGAACGATGTCATTCGTCTGGCTGTGGATCAAGGGGAAGTGGGTGTTTTCCAAAATGGAACAACAGTCCAGCCCTTCCTGTTGAGCAGAGAATGGGTTAATTTGACAAGAGCACAGTCCCTAATGGAGACTCGTTGGTGAGATCGTCTCTGATCTCACCCTTCCATAAAATTGATCCTTTAGCAGATTTTACTTGAGGTGCTGTCCGGGACCACTTTGGGAAGGGCTGGTGATCAAGTTGCAAAACAAATGAGAGGAAATTAATCAAAAACTGAGTCGATACATTTTAATGGAAAAAATTACTTGACAGTAGCAATGTGTGTGCAATTCTGTCCCACATTTACCCCACATGCCCCTGACAACTTGCTGCAAAATAGTATTCATACTAATTCAGTGTTCGTCTTTCTTCTGCTTCGATTCCTCCAACAAGTCACCAAGCATCACAATCCAGTGATCGAGTGACTTGGACTTGTGAGATGTTGTCGTTATGTGAGTTTATGATAGACACGTAATTAAACATTTAAGGAAATGCAGTTTTCATCATTCAGTAGCCGAGACTTTCCTGGTAATTATCTTTATCCTCCTGAAACTGCTCACCTCTTGCAGAAACTGCTCTATAATTACAGGGTGACTCGCCTGAGCACTTGCGACTAAAGCGGTAGTAGACAACATGAGTTTGGGATGAAAAATCCAAATGCAGTTGGTAAAATTACTGAAATTGGCTTAAAATCATCAATTATTAGTATTATTGTTATTTAAAATCAGACCACTGGCGAGGAGAGGAAAGCCTCGTCCCTTAGTACAAGCTGGGCTATTTGGGTCATTGTGGTTAAGCTGAGGCTATTATGATTATGGGGCACACCTACTTGCTGACTGTGTTAAATGCTTCTTGTGTTGCCTCCCAACAGTAGCTTAGTCCTGATGTAAAGTCTGCTTAACTCACCCACCCATCCTTGCGCAGGGATTGGTGGTAAAGGCCAGAGGGGAATCTCTTCTCTACAACACGCTCAACCTTGAGACTCCTTATTGATGCAGTGTATGAAATGACCAAAGTGAAAATTTGCCAACCAATGTTGACACCCTCAGTCCAGTGGCTCTACAAAATGTTGGCCAACATTGTTGGTTTGGCTCTTCTTATTGACTTCTTATGTGAAATACCAAGGGATGACACATTTTGGAAGGGTCAATTGCAGTCCAATCTGCAACAGCCAATGTCCCCTCTTCAAACCCTATAAAAACCATTGATCACTCGTTCCTCTTGGCCGTGCAAATGACCAGAAAGTGGAATTTTTCCTTCATGAACACTTGTACACTTACTTGTCTCACAGATATTTGTCATTGGACAAGCAGCAAAGATAAACTGCCAGACATGCACAGATACCAGACTAATGGGTTACATCTACACATTCTCACACCCAAGGCATCAAAATATGACACGTGTGACCGAGCCTCAATATATAACGATTCGGAACGCCCCAGCGCGTCAGGAGACGACGATCAGGGACACGCTGGGTCACGTGGCTCCGCTGGCGTCACTGTTTGACACGCGCGGTCACATGGACTTTATTCGACTACTTAACCTTCCCCTTACCCCAATCCTAACCTTAAGGTCCATAAACTGTGACCTTAAGGTTAGGATTGGGGTGAGGGGAAGGTTAAGTAGTTCACAAGTAGTTCTAATGTCCGTCTCACCACCGGCGTCGGATACCGACGCTCTGGGACGCTGCGTCCGCTGTTTGTCCCTGATCGTCGTCTCCTGACGCGCTGGGGCATCCCGAATCGTCATGTATTGAGGCTTGGTCACGCGTCATATTTTGACGCCTTAGGTGTGAGAATGTGTTGGTTACATACGTGGTATTCAGAGGTCAAGTCAATGACTTTGACTGGAGACACCTTGGTCCCGCTGTCTTTCATTCGGTTCAGCAGACTGACCAAGATAAGGTCCCAGCCAGCTGGCTCCTGCCTGTAATTCATATAGTCTGGTTCTTTGGTGGACAATTCTCTACATCTACTCTTCTTCATCAGGTCAATCTGTCTGCCTTTTGCACGTGACAGATAGCGCTATCCCAAATATGACCTTGATGTTTACTCACCCAGGTATCTAACTGTGTTTATTACAGAAACGTTTGAAAAGCATTTCGGCGACACAATGGTGAGGATAGATGGATCTTATCTTTCTACAATGCTAAAGTCGCCATGCAATTTCCTGCCTTTGGGAAGACTCAAACATTGCAGAAACTACAATAAATGCATTCACATGGCTCTGCAGATCAGCTGATCTCTGACAGTTGAGGGGACTCGCATCCAAATGCTACCTTGCGATGGTTTTAAGAAGACTTGAAGTTTGGTAGAAACACTTGTCATTACAAATGTAGCCAAAATGTGTATTCACACATTAGCTTATCATGCAGTTATGCAGTGACTAGTAAAAGCCAAGCTATGCTTATTCAAGCTCGATGTACAGTGACCAATAACATCAAATCAGCCTGAAGTACAGGCTACACTCACCATGTCTGACCTTGGCTAGTTTTGGTGTTGGTAGCAATTTTCTTTTTCTTTGAGCGTTTCAGCAAAAATATCTCATTAACCTCTGGATGATTTTGACAAGAGTTTCAGAAACCAATGAATAAACCAACATCTACAATTGGTTTACTGTGGGAAACAACCCCATTCGACTGACCTCATCAATGACAACTCTGTGAGTTTTCGAGATACCTAGCTAAACTCTGTTGGGTTGTACCAGAAAACCAAAAGCAACACATACAATTGCCAAGGAACGCATGAGATCTTGTGAGATTGCTCTTTATTTTCAAGGTTTGACAAACTTGACTTTTATGCTGTAAAATCAGTCAGTCGTAACTTTCTTTGCTGTATCTAAGGGAATAAATTGGACTTAATGATAGCTTTCTAAAAGCAGTTAACATTTGCTTGCATGACTTGTTGTATTTTGAGATTAACTTCTTTCTCATGCAGATCTATGCTCCCAACATTAGTTCTTGTAAGGCATACAAAAGGAGCATAGAGAATACGGTGTCTCCTTTTATCGGTGCGACTGCAGATATGTGGTCATGCCCATACACGTATGTTTTATCTTGCTATTGTCCCTGTAGGGGTCCCCTTTGATCTTCAGAACTCACCGTTTGTTTTGACTATTTCTCATGGCAAACATCTCTTGGATGTGTCCTTTTGAGTCTCTTGTGAACTGTCCTCACCTAACCAGCTTTTACAGCTACAACCACTGTTTATAGAAAGTATGTACCAATGACATATCTGGTGATGGCGCCATCGTCTCTTCACATACTGACAAATTAGGTTAGCTTGATCACAGACATCTTATGGCTTCTAAAAATAAGAAGAGATTAATTGTTAAAGGTCAGACCTGACATGATTCTTACCTGATTGTCTCTTCTGCAGCGATTGGTTCTCCCCCGGAGGAGATGATGTGAAATTAAATCCTGCCTTGGGGAAGGGAGCCTGGGCGTCGGAACCATCGGGCAAGGAAGTTTCTGATCTAATTTCACATGATCAGCACTAAAGTGGGACAATATGATTAACTCGACAGTGGTTTGAATTTATTGGCTCAGAACAGCAAATCCCTTTCCGATGTCAACAGGAAGTATTTCTTTCTGCTGATGGACAAAGAAAACGTTACCCGTTTGTGGGATCAAATACTGAGAGAAGTTATTCAACATTGTTTGAGTGGCAGAATAAAATATTTTCTTTACGTTTTTGTTTTGGAAACAATATCGTGACCTTTTATTCTTTTTTGAAACATGTTGAATTTTTAACCAGTATGTTAATGAGCACAGACTGCTGGTGTCTAGCTGGAGATGCAAAATTGCCAGAAAATACACTTCAAGTTCACTTGTTTTTTTTAATACATTTTCAGTGGTCTCTAGTATAAATGAATACCAGAGATGATCTCTTTGGGGGGAAGCTCTTGCGCTCCTGTTTCAGTAAGCAGAAGACAGTCGAAGGATAGGAGAGCAGAAAATGGCAGGATTTGGAATCTTACTCTTAGTTTTTCCTCATATTCTGACATCTTGCCTCTGATTGGCTAGCAGCAACGCAATTCTATCACTGATTTTGTTGGCTTTGTAATGTTGATGTTCATGATGATGATTTCCACAAATAACACAAGCCTGAAGGAGTTCTGGTGTGTGGTGGAGTTGCTAATGCTAACGGTTAGCTTCTACAAGCTGAAATGCGCCCTGCTGTCTTCTTGACGCTAAACCAACAACAGCAAGCCAAAATGGGTGAATCCATGAATGTTAATGTTCAGTGTGACGTAGAGCTGAGTTGCTTTTCTGATCCGAGTGTTTCCGCATCTATTTTCAATCATCAGCTAATGATTACATTCACGTTCAACCTGCGTGAGTGATCGATCACATTTAAAAAAGACAAGGAAGCAACATTTCTGAGTGAACTTGCTCTTTAATACAACTGAACTAGAGCTTTGGACACTTTAGCATCTGTCAAAATGAAGTTTGTACAAAATTTATGTCGCAATTTGGGTCGCGCTTGTTTCACACTTTGACTATTAGATTCTTAAATTCATCCCCAAACATTTGCTACATAGTTTCATTGTAAAGCTAGCATTGGCCGACAGTTTTCTAATTCTGTAACTTATAGAAACAAAATGGGAGAACGGTTTGAGACAGCCTCCAATGAGAGAATGTGTGAGACCCTTTAATTCATGCGAAGAAAATGAATACTCACAATTGTTTAGAGAATTATTATTATTATTATTTTCCAAATTCTCACGATTTTATCACCAACAGTTACAGCCCCAATGAGATACTCACTGGCTTTAGGGCTGTTTCAATAAACTGCATGTTTTTTTAAATAAATGAAGTGACGTTTTGACTTTCCTCTTTAAAATATGTTAGTGGCTCATTGTTCTTTTGGTGATGCAACAGAACCTGTGGCATCACCTTCATGTCTAAAGTTCTCCTTCTACAATCCAGATTTTTCTTCTCTTCCCCAACGTCCCCTTTTATAAACCAAAAGTTCTTGTTTCTGCCTACAGATATTTTCCAAATGGTCTTGCCTGATTTTTATCCAGCTGCTGACGGATTTAGCTTTGGTTAGTTTTAGCTGTGGCCTTTTCCATTACAGCCAACTTCAGAAACCAGTGTTTTCCCAATGATGGAGTAGCACTCACACCTGATTATTACCCGACTGAGGGGAAAAGAAACACTTAACCCTAATTACAACTTTAGCGTTATTGATAATGCTAATCCTAGAGGTTTACATACTGTACGTTTTGCACGTCTGATCTTGTTTTAGGTCATTTTTGGCAGAATTCTAGATCATTGAAAAGTGCTGTCAGACTCTTCAAATTCTTTATAAAAAGTGTTGCTCATTTTCACACAACTTTCACAGAAAAATGATTATTTTTCACCAAGTTTTAGATTTTCCACCAAGCCTTTCCTTTCTCCTCCCTCACACTAGAGCCCTCGGCCCTGTCTCCTCCTACCTCCAGTTACCAGGAAAACATTTCCAGATGTGCCAAGACAAATAGCTCCCTGCACAGTAGCTTTGTAATAGATTTCATACTCCCATGCTAAAGGTCACTTCCTCAGATTGTTGCTTTAGCAGTTGTCTCTGCGCTCACTGGACAACAATCAGACACACAGACCATCATGGGACATGAAGGGAGCACATACAAACACACCCTGTATGAACCGACTGGCTGCTGTCAATGAGCTGGGACCTAATTTGGATAGGGTGAGACTACTAGTGAATATTGTGACACTGGGCAGCGTCATAATCACGTCTGGCAGCAGGATATGCATCTGCCTGAGTCCCTCTCTGGCGGCTGGATGGCTGCCCAGAATAACGCTGTGCTGCAGTTTTCTATTGGTCATCCCAAGCCTCCGTGTGCGGCTTTACAGGACCAGACTCTGAAGCCCTGAGGCTCTTTTTCCATCTCTGACTCAGTCCTCTTGTCCAGTGTCTCATGACACAGAGGCGTTTACCATTCACGGCTTTGTTTTGTAAAATGTTGGAAGTCCATCTGGGTTGTTGTCACCCCAAACCAATTTTTGCAGTAGTATGGATGTCCCGATACAACTTTTTCACTTAAGATACGATACGGATATTGCAGCTGTCAGTATTGACCGATACTGATATCAGTCAGCACAAATCATACCTACTTTTACCTATTTCGTAGTGTGGGATGTATGAAAGGCTTGATCAAGTGATATTAGTCAATCGGAGAACAAGATCCAATAACGGTAAGTATTAAAAAAAATGACAGTTTTTTCTTAACCATTGGTTTTAAAAATGTGAACCTTTACGGATTGGTTATGTCGGAGATTTTTGATGCAATCCGATATAATCCGATACGCTGTTTTTGGGCCGATTTCGAATTACTTCAGATATTGGAACGGGGCATCCCTATTGAGTAGGGTGCTTTGGAATAACTCCACAACTACCTGAATTCAAACGTACATACATTAACTGTTGACGCCTTTAAATAAACACAGCCAGATTTTAAAACTGCAACCTTGTTGCTGCGAGGCAGTGGTGCTACAAACTGTGCCGCCATGCATCATGAAACCCCAGCTTCAGGGGCGTGCGGTTTAGCAGATTAACATAGTCTCCACATTTTTACAAGACAAAGACGAAGTTGAATCAGTAAATGAAAGAAATCCAATGAGTCATTGGTTTTCATCGGTTTTACTCGCTCCCTTGTTAAAGTTCTTTTTGCCATTGTAATCAGAGGTTATGAGTTAAGGCTGAACGATTGGAAAAAGACGATAGGCCAAGCTCTTAACCCAGCGATTAAGGATTATATTTTTTATGCCTATGAATTAGTCTTGTGGATGGGACATTACATACTTCCAGTTCAAATCTGTGTCTTTTTTTGTAGAACTTTCTATGTACATAAACATATTGTACATTATTTGAAAGGTAGGACTCTTGTGATTTCATTGATATAGGGCAGTCAGTGATACAACTATAAATGTAGACACAGTAACCACTTTTTTGTTAAACCACTCAGGAAATTTAAAATGATGTATAACTCACTGTTTAAAGACAGAATAGAACTATTTTCTAAAACAAAATCCATAATTGTAGCTCCACAAGCGTCCAGTGAAAGTCCTTCAATAAATGGTCAACAAGTCTTCAAATTGCATCTACAATCCAACATAATATACCGCTGAAAATGTCTCTTTTGCACCTCATCCTCCATTAGCATCGTCACATTAGCATCAAACTTGCCTGATCCAACAGGCGGGGGTTAACAATTCACGATTATTGGCCAATCGGTCAAAAGTGCGACCAACATTCTTGCATGTGTTGCTCAAACCTTCGTGGGCTTCCGCAAATAATTATGATTTGTGTGTCGCTGCGTGTCAGAGCCCAAAAAAATCCAAACGTCATGAATATATAGCTGATCGGTTTTAAACGTCACCCAAACTAATGAGCGTACATTTATTTGAACTTCTAATGTGTGAAGTTTATAAGTTAGCATGTTTGGCTTCCAACAGTAACAATTCGTGTGGCACCACCCTTCAGTCTTCCTGTTTACAAGACCCTGACTGCGGGGTGTATTGTGTTTTTGTCCTGCAGACTAAATCCAGCCTATTCAGGTGCTCCTGTGTAAAGATTAGTTAATGTTTCTTTTATTATAACAATAATAATAATGCATCTATTTCCCTTCTGTATTCCAGATCACAGACAGAAAGTGCCTTTTCAGACGACGTCCCTACTTGAAGACATTCGAGTGTTTCTGAAGAGCTCCACATTTTCCTCATTGGCAGGTCAAAGTTCAGCTGAGAGTCTTGGTTATTGTGCTCTCCTGTGTTTGCCTATGACGACGGGCCAGCGTGCTCAGGTGTATAGAAACATGTGCTGAAGACTTTAACCGTGCCAGCTGAAAGTAAAGCAACATTTGCTCCCCGACACCCTGCAGAGACATCATCACTCATAGGAGAGGACGTTTTGAGGACGCCGCTGCAACAGATACAGGTCGTCTCCAGTTATGCCCCTTGTGCCCCATCAGAGGTCTGCACTTGACACCTAACTGATTGATGAACAATTATTCGTGTGTCTAAACTCCACCTCAGCACGGTTGTGCATTCTCATGCTCGGGTCGCGCAGGCTTTGCCAGTCCATTAGCTCGGCTTTATTCCTCTGCAAGGACAAACCCCATCCAGTGACCTGAAGCGGCGTATTTTTAGCTACATGTTCCATCGCTTTTAGTTTGATTTTATTTTCTAACTGAAGCACCTCCTCCGAGGAAGACAAAGCGAGTGGCTCCTCTCCTGGCCTCGCCATGGCTCTGAACATAGCCTCCATACGGGACACGAAATGGCTGACTCTGGAAGTGTGCCGGCAGTTTCAGAGAGGGACGTGTTCACGCAGCGACGAAGAATGCAAGTTCGCCCACCCACCCAAAAGCTGCCAGGTGGAGAACGGGAGGGTGATCGCCTGTTTTGACTCGTTAAAGGTAAGAACCTGTGCTTTGTTGAGTAATAAACTGCGACAACTGTCCAGAACGTTACAGTTTTATGGTTTCTAATGGTCGACGGGTGTCGGCTGTCTGCTCAGATTAGCATGTGTGTCAGGTCTCTGTGTTGTGCTGCAGTGAGCAGACTAGCCTGACCTATGATGCTAAAGGTCAGAGAGGTCTGTTGTCATGTTCACTGCCACCAGCGATGTGTGTGTGTATGTTTAGATTTTATTTTTCACACTAAGTTCTTCTAACGTTACCGTGCCTCGTCCATCATCTGTACCTTCAGAGGAACATCGGATCGCTTTGAGTCGTTCCAGGGCGTCTATTTTGGAGTCATCTCAGCTTTCGTACTGTATACAACCAACAAACAACATAAACGGTCCGTAAACGGTCACAGTGCAGGTCATCCACTTTTGTTTTTTCAACACGTGGCAACTTCTTGTTAATGAATCATGAGTTTTCTTTTTTATCTTCTTTATTTTGCTTCTTCTAATAGGCTAAATGTCTTTAATTAGCTTAAAACCAAACACCCCGATCCTCCACATGCTGCATCTGAGAGCAACCTATATTCTTTCTAGCTTTGCGGAGGGTTAAGGGAAACTAACGGAAGTGACAGTGATGAATTACTGAGGAAACCAGAGCGCGACAACAGATTGGGTTTTTTTTGTCTATAGCTGCATTTTTACAAATATGGACACAATTTTAGTGATAATTAGTGAATCCTGATTCACCCCTCTTTATAACAAGTTAGCACATGGTCAGTTATTTATTAGAGACCATAAAAGCCCTTTGCTTTTACGGTGCTACCAGCTGCTTTCTTGGCTTTATCGCTCAGGTTTTCGCTCACACTCGTTCCTGAGTGACGTTCTCTTCCTGCTGCTGTTTTGGTTTAATGAGCCAACAGTTGACTAATTAGGACTGATTGGCTGTTCTACCAAGAACCAGCAGATCGGACCGGGAACTTGTGTCTATTTTTATTTTGCTGCGAGAATTGTAAGTAATAACATGCAACATGAGGTATTTGTAATTTAATTAAATACGTTGACTGTTCATGTTTACTGTTCAACAAAGCTCTAATGTCTTTAAGGCACACTGTTTTTAAAGCTTTTGAAAATGCTTGAATTCAAATGTTTGAAAGTTATTACATTTTGAAAAGAAAGTTTGAAACTGTAACAGAAATTTGTTTTAGCACAATAATGTTTACTTTTATGAGATAGGGGGGTGAAACGCTTGTTTTGAGCTTATTTCAAAGTCGTTAAAGAGCGAGTCACCCCCTACCAGAGTCTTACTCCACTCCCACTTCCTGTTTGAAAAAATGCAACAAATGCTGTTGCCTAGCAGACTGAGAAGGCGGAGCCGCTAACAAATACACACACACACACACACACACACACACACACACACACACACACACACACACACACACACACACAGGCTCACAAAGACATTGTGACATCATATGGTACCAGCTAATGTTCTAGGGTACCTCTTAGCCAATAGCGATGGCAGATTTAAATTCAAATGCAGTGCTGCGTTTTAACCTGACACTGGCACAACACTGACAGTTTTAGGCAGAAAATTTAAATTTTAACTAAAATCCACTAAAGTGCAAAACTATTGACTACACGTGTCTGCAGCACGATTAGACTCGCATTTATATAGTTTATCAGAAAAAATTAAGTTGATTTGGGGGTAACTTGCTCTTTAACAATGATCCTCCTGGTGAATGGACATACAAAGAATTGAGTAGAATAAAACTTTATTATCCCACATAGGAGGAAATTAAGTGTTGCACAGTTCTTATAGCAAAAGGAATATATCGGTAGATGAAGACACAAAATAGCTCTTTATACATACAAATCAAACAAAATTTTTATGTACAGAAAATGTACATGTACAAACAATTTAGGCTCAATGGGTCTTAATTATGTCTCAGTTTGTTTTCTATTTATCATAATTTTATTCTCATGCAATAGTTAAAGCTGCAATAGCACATTTAGAAAACAAGCTAGCTTTTAAATGCAAACATGCTCATAGAACTCTCACCCTCCCGCCGACTATCATCCCTGGTCCACTGGAACTGGAAACCAGCATTGCCAGAGGAAATGAGATAGCGCTAAACACCACTCACCGTTTTCTAGGTCCAAACATCTTCTATCGTCTGTGGCGTTTTTTTTTTTTGGGGGGGGGGGGGGGGGGGGAGACTCTGGAAGTTTTTCCTAAAGTTGAAGTGGTAGCAGCCAGCTATTTCTTCTTCTCCGACGTTATTGAGCGGAGAACCTCTCACTCCAGTGGTGTTCTGTTGCTAAATACACGTAATGAGTGGAATGTCCAGGGAAGTGTGGCAGTTCGGTAAGACAGACAATCTGATGGTCCAATCACTGGTTTTGGACCTGTGCTCATTTTGACAAAAAAATTTATTTTAGCCTTTTGACTTTAGTGACAATTTAGTTGTCCATTTTTTTTTATTTGAGCCTTTAGTCGACTAAAATATTAGAATTTTTAAAATCTGAATTAAGAATTTTCAACATCTGTAAAGGAACGTTAACTACACCTACTGAAAACTGTACAGAAATATGTAAAATTCACATTTCACACCTTGTATGAATTTACCTATGTTTGGACTGAGCCTTGTTATTAGCTGCATTTTTAGACAAATGCAAGAGAACCAGTTCATTCTTTTTTTTTAATCTCCACAATGTACTTATATCTATACTACATTAGAACGAGGTTTAGAGGCAAGAAAAAAACATTTGTAGCTAGCTTGTTTTCCAAATTAGCTATTAAAGCTTTAAAATGTAGATTTGTAGCCAATCAACCGCTACGAAAGTTTTCTTGAACTTCTTGATCTTTCTGATTCGTGGAAAAAAAAATTCAAGAAGGGTTCCAGATGTCCACAAACTGGACAATTTTAGGAGGGAATTTGGCTCTCATCTTTCTCTAGATTCAATTGATAAAGACACTTGAATAAGGTCCTGCTACTCACGAGGAGAAATTGGAAATCCTCGCAAACATTTCACACCATTTTAGAAACACAGTCGCAAATGTCGTAATCTGTGGAAGTTCATTGAGATTCTGGCTTACTGACATTAAAATAGCCTTGACTTGGTTCTCTGATTGAAGGCAAGATGGCTACACTTGATTAACTTGTAGGGCTGTAACAATATTGGCAATATTACGATATCGCCATAGTAAAATGGCCACAATATCATGGTGGTCTTGTCACGATATTGTACAGTACGTCTTGAGGTAAAAATAACACTTTTCAGTCTGCTCCACAGGAGCATAGCAATGTAAACTACACAGACCATGATCCTTTGCTTCCATGTCATCGGCCAGTACACAAATTGGGAGTGCGTGCAGCCCACACAGACTGGTATTTTTAGTGCCTGGGTATTATTATTTATTTTATGGTCTGTTCAATAATGCCTTTATTTTGCCTGATAACTCTGTACCTGTGTTGTCATTTCTTTTATAAACATATTTCGAGTTGTTACTTGAATTTTGCACTTTATGGCTTTTCAGGCAGTTCAAAATGTCATAATGATAATTCTATTCAATTCAAAGATACTTTATTAATCCCAGAGGGAAATTAGAGTTTCAGTACACACAATAATAAAGTTAATGACAAATGTACCAATGACCAGTCAAAGTATTTTATGTTGTGAGTCTTGTTATTGTGAGCATAGCCACGATATCATGAGCCTCCCCATAATATTGCAATAAATATCGTATTGTGAGGTTCATATCGCGACAATATCGTATCGTGAGATTGGATATTTTTACACCTCTCCTAACTTGTTTTCTGTTTTCTGGATGTCTTGTTTCGATGGCATTGGCATCCTTATGAGGTCTAAAAACATTCTCACAGTTGTCCGATTGACCAACCTGTTGTCAAAAGTCCCAGCTCAGCCTGAATTGGCTCTTTTACCTCTTCTTTCTTTGAATTACACAACATTCTGCATACATCTACGTTCACAAAACTGATTTAGTCAGTTGAGGAATTCAGTTTTACGTCCATCGTTTCTGCCTCAACATGCCCGTGAGCTGAAAAACAGAAATTCTGCTTACTTCTTTGACATGTAAACAAAAAGACATGCCTTCTCTGCTCTTTTGTTCCTTTTTTCTCAAGGGGATCAGGATCCTGTGTGCTTTTACCTCCAGTGAAAAACAACAACCCTGTGACAGCTAGAATAATGAATGCTTTATTATGCATTAGGAAGTGTGTTTGGCTGCACTGCGGGCTGATTTTCACCCCCATTACACTCGTATCGTCTTCCTAGGTCTTCTCACCTGCTAGGGTTATCGTTCCGGGGTTGTGTGCTACCAGCCGTAGCTTGGCAAGTGATTACAGAGACTCTTTTTGAAATATGTGAAAGGTAATGCTCAAGAGAGGAAAAAGACTGAGTTGTTTCTGTTTCTACTCTTGTTTTACAGCGACAGGAAAGCACGCCAATTCAGTGGAGCGTTTGAACGTCCAGGCTGATGTTTTCAGTCTAATTTGTAAAAATTAAAAAAAAATCCCCCTGTAGCAACTGTGGCTTTTTCTTTGACTCTCAGATTTATTTTAGATGTTAAGCTCTAAAATCACTTTTATGACTCAGCGTTAAGTAAATGATTCATATTCTGTTTATTACAGGTAATCATCCAGCTTAAAAGCTGCCATTGCATTTAGGAAGACGGCGCACCATTTTCTCTTGTTCCTGCAAGCGAGACTTAAAGGACAGACCAAATGTGCAGATATCTGAAAACGTGAATCCAGCTGTGAAGGATCTGAAGCCGATGTGTGGCGAGGATAGGGAGACGTTTCATTCATCTAAGCCTGCTTTTGCTGTCCAGTGCGTTGAATGATTTTGGGGCATCATCCTAGATCGGTTTGCTTTTCTCGGCTGGATTATTTTTGTCCCTTGCCCTACTCTTTATGGTTTCAAAAGCAGCAAGCGTGTGCTACATTTATCTTTCAAGAAATGGCCGTGGGATAACGAGAAAGCTGC